TACATTGTTAATAAAGTAGTCCACATGTCGCTTCAGCTCGTCCTACTTATTGCCATATTAAAATTATTGTCTCCTCGTCGAATTTTTAAATAATAATAATAATAATAATAAGTATGTTACTAGTTGCTGGTAAGAGATTTCAGAACCAGTACAGCGGCAGGGTCTACTGGGGAGAATGGAGGTGGAGCAGTGCAATGCCTCATCAGTCAATATGGGAGCCGCTCGTACAAACGCAGTATGTTCCATACGCATTCCTAGTGCTGGATACGTCTGCGAGACGGGCCAGCTAGCACTGGAGTAGACTGTGAGCAATACCATAACTAGCTATTCACATACTTATACGGTAATCAGTTACAAACGTCCTTCTTTCTTTATCGCAATATCTTTATTTGATAAGGTAAGTTCGTTTCACGTTAGGCAAGGCTGGGCACCGCTAGAACGATCTGTAGTCTTGCAAGGCATCATCCTTTTCTCGCAAAAAAAGTGCCCGCCGCAGTCCACCCCTAAGCTCATCCTCCCGTCCCCTCTGCGAGTCCAGGCACAATTGTAACCAGCATATACAGCCATCCGTACGTCTCAACTTGGCATAGGTAGTATGGCAAAGCACCCACCCAATTCACCACGCGCGACAAAGCGCGCCTCCAGTCCACTCGTGGAGTCAGCGAAGCGCTCAACCGATCACGAAGCCGGCGCGTCGTCCCCCACCCCTGCATCCGTAGCCGCTAGCGCTGCTGCAAAAATGCTAATGAGTACGGAGTCCGATGAACGATACGAACAGCACGATGTCGAACTTGGAGAGGGGTATTTCTCCACAGTATTCCGCGGAATAAAGCTATCCAACAACGCCCAAATCGCTATCAAGGTCCCACATCAGGAAGGATCTCCGCGGTACGCTGTGAACGGGTTGGAGGTGGGAGAGGCGCAGAAGCAAATTGAGAAAGAAAGGTCCGTCATGGAATTGCTTCAAATGGGCGGAGTGCGTCCATATCTTTCTCAACTGATGGATGTGGTTCAAGACGAAGAAAGTCCTTATGGAGATATCAAACTCATCCTTCTCAAATGCGGACCGAATCTTGGCGACTGGCTGGAGGAAAGGGGACACCGACCTCCTTGCGGCGTCAAAGCGGAGATAACCCGTCAGATCTACTGTGGGCTGAAAACTTTGCACGACCGCGGCGTCTCCCATCGCGATCTCCACTTGAAGAACATATTGGTGCACAAAGGGGAGGGCTGCATTAAGATATCGGATTTTGGTAGTTCCATCCTAAAAACTGAGGTTCCTCAAAGGTGGGAGCATCTCTTACGCTCTGAACTGTATTCCGCCACGTCACATTTAATTGCAACCCTGTGGCTTGGTCGCTGTGTAGCAGCACGACCCAAAGAGGCCCGAAACCAATGTGCTGCTCGTGGAATAGAGCAGGCAGATATAGAAACCGTTGTGCACGCCTTGTACACGCGTTGCGCGGATATGGCATGGTATCCTACCCACCATATAAAGTATCCATGGGAAAAATTGTTTGAGGGCCAGGCTCATCTTCTCCAGATCCTAAAAGATCTGTTCGCCTGGGAATTCAGTACTAACCTGGATCAAACTCTAGGAGGCATTCCCGTGCCAAGTCGCTTTTTGCCTCCACTCATGGTTGGGCGCCTGATGGGCCCCATTGCGCAACTCACCGCCAGCAACGTATTCTCCATGTTCGACGATCAATGTGCAGACGACCTGTGCCACGCCGCAGCACTCTACATCAGATCTGGGCAGAGTAATCCGATTCTCGAGGAAAATTGATGCTGCCGAAGCACCTTCCTCTAACGTCTCGTCTGATACTAAATACTTCATGCATGATGTTAAAAAGACCGGTCTATAAGTGTGCAAGTTTTCATGTTTGATACTTCAAGACTACCCTGGACACCTTTGTTATCGCCTGTAAATTTTATCCAAAAATCACGAATGAACATATTGAATCACAAGTGGAACGTTCGCTTTGCATCGTTTGTGAAATTTCTACGGCCATGTCGGAATGCAGCAACTATAGCAAACACGGAGATACACGATTTCCAAACCTGTAACTTTAAATTTAGCATCCAAATGATGCGCCCATCTGCGCCACTTTTCGAGATAGTTGTCTTTGCTTCGCTTTTCTCATTGTTGTATCATGGAAATTGCACAGAGGCAGTTTGGTTTGGTTTGGTTTTTACTTTTTCAGTTCGTTGCCTCAACAGTACAAAGTACAAATATCAAGAGGGACGAACGAAAAGAAGGAAGGCAATGCGCCTTAATTAACCTGCAATAGTGCTCAAATGCCCGGAATAGGCAGAGCGTGGTACGCAAGAGGTACACAAAAGGAAGTAACATAGGGCTGTTCCGTTGTTACTCAGAGTTTCAGGGCAAAACCCAACCATCACACAACGTAAGAAGATTAGAAAAAAGTACAGGCACTTCGAAGTACAGTCGTCCCTCTCTAATCTAATATCAGTTGTGTACAAAAAAACTTGTGGATAAAGAAATCAAGCACAAGGAAGTGCCTGATAGATACCGCCAATACAAGTATGCTGTCAAAATCGAAAAAGAAGTACATGTATATGAAGGCAAGCAGCGGAGACTGTAAAAAGGTCACTGCTTCCGAACACAGTGTCCTCCAGCTTGTTTCATGCTGTCAAACTAAAACAAGGTTTATGGAAGCGTGGAAGACCACCACGAAAGCCAGTGATCAAGACAACGGAGGAGCCAGACACCGGACGAATGGCCGCGCGGTGTGGTGGAAGGGACGAGTCAGGACCTGCAGCATCGGAAGTGATGACAAGGCGACTGCCCAGTGGAAAGGATGGGTCAAGAGCTTTGACATTAGAGGTGACGAAAAAGACAAGAAATTCCAACAATCAGCAATCGGCTATCGAGAGTCATCTGTCAGTTAGTGATAGCTGTCGTGAGTTGTACAGAGATGATGTTCTCTCAGTTTTGGCCCGTGGTAGATCTCCATTACATTTGTGTGTTTTGGAAGCGTTATATATTCGCAAGTTGTCCCCTAAACTATGTGTTCAGACGGAAAATGTTTTGTCACTTCAGTTGTTTGGCGCTAATCCTCGTGAAAGTGTCAGGAATGCTTCTCCTCACTGATGTTTTCATTATGTTTAAGTCATTTCTTCACCTTCACCCTGTTGTTGACTTGTTCAGCTGAATTTTATTTTTTCCAAACGTATAGCGTAAGGTTCTCAATCTATGCTGTTGCTGTAGCTCTATAAGTAAGAGTGTATTTGACATTTTTCCATTATTTAACTCGGATGGTGAGCCAATTAAATTATTGTTAAAAGAAAAAGGACAAAATGTTACGAGTTAAAGTTATGACTTACTGTCCACCAACGTGACCAGATCTTATACCGTCAGCGAGTGCGACAAAATGGTACAAAACTGACAAGGAGTACTGAGACATTCGGCGACCTGACACCTACCTCCAACACTTCTCCAAGGCGCAAACCAACAACCTTCCAACTTTGAAGGCTCTGGTTCGGAAAGGTCCAAGAGGGGATCGAAAGCGCAACGAAGAAGAGAACGAGCTACGCATTACGGCCACAAAGCATGCCGAACGTTACTGGATGATCACGAAACTAGTAAGACTATGAAGGTTGCAAGCTTGTTGGTTTGCGCCTTTGAGAAGTGTTGGGGCTAAGTGTCAGGTCGCCGAATGTCTCAGTACTCCTTGTCAGTTTTGTGCCATTTTGTCGCACTCGCTGACTGTATAAGATCTGGTTACGTTGGTGGACAGTTAGTCATAACTCGTAACATGTTGTCCTTCTTCTTTTCCATTATTCCCTGTATTTACCCACGATAAGGAGGGGACCTAAACGGTCGGTTAAGTTAATAAATTGGCTTACTTTACTGTGTGGATTGCGTCGGTGCTGACACCTTTCTTTCGAAATTGGACACGCCTCCAAACTTTTTCTTTATCTACTAAGAAGTCATTATACGAAATAGTGGTTGCGACGTCGGCGATGATTTTTTAGGAATGGGTTTGCTCCCACACTGGAGCTCGCACTATTCCGCCGACTTGACTTGACACTTCACTGACTCACGACTATCATCTGGTGTTCACGAGGTGTTTGTCACGCTGGAAACAGAGCGTTTCTGTAAGTTTGTATCCCTGGTGATGTTTGTGCCTGTTGAGCACTACATGTATATAAGCGGTGCTCTTCAGGCACAATCTTTCTCAGCCTACTCAAGCTCAACTGATGAGGCGTGAATTCCCCGAAACACTGCGTATGGAGCAGGGAGTGGTGCTTTCTTGCAGGTTTGCCGAGTTGAAGGTTCGATGGACTTCTCGTGTGCTCGTGGATGTCAGTCGTGAGTCAGTCAAGTCGGCGGAATAACGCGACCTCCAGTGTGGGAGCAAACCCATTCCTAAAGTAAAGAAGGTATTATGTTCATTTTTTGTTACATGTACTCGTATGGGAACCGTAGTATCCCGGGGATACGAACGTCTTTGCTTGCTGTGTTGCTCGGGCCGTGACGCGGTGGAGAATCCGACCCACTTTACAACAGTATAGACAAAATTTATGGTTTGTTTCCCATACACCGACAATACGCATCCAATGCCAGACACACTACCTTGTGCGGACGGACGGCGCACCTCGAGTCGCTGCTATGCAGACGATCCTGCACCATATCACCCTGCGGAATACGAAGGTGGCTGTTGGACTCAACCAGCAATAGTCGAGCCACGGTGGTCACCTGCGCGACAAAACTGTACGTGTTGACAACTGTCAGTGTGTGTGTGTGTGTGTGTGTGTGTGTGTGTGTGTGTGTGTGTGTGTGTGTGTGTGTGTGTGTGTGTGTGTGTGTGTGTGTGTGTGTGTGTGTGTGTGCGCGCGAGTGTGTGCTACTAAAATATAATTCAAGTGCAACAACAGCAACCTGCTGAGAAACTCAGACTTTCGTCACGCGCACTAGACCAACGTGCAGGTATTAATCCGTCGCCTGCGTCTCAATCAACACTGGTTATATCGCCATGTCGCAGGGCCCCACACATTCTCCACCCGTGCCGTCACCACTCGGCGATGCTTTGCTGGATATGTTGAGGGCGTCTTCCACGAGAATCGCAAAGCCTGGCACCACACTGATCAGCCAGCGACACGGCTCATACGGGCGTTATACTGTGCACGAGGCTGTGTTGGGTAATACAAGCTTTGCACATGTTTACGACGGTGCCAGGGTATCGGGCCAAGTTCCAGTGGCGATCAAGGTTGCCACAGAATACGGCAGAGCCACGAATGATTTGGATATGGAGCAGATCATCATGGAGTTGTTAATGGTTGGAGGAGGTCACGAGAACATACTACGCCTCCTTGATGTCGTGGCCGAGGAGACAACTGGGAAACTTTCCAAGACACTCATCTTGCCTAGATGTAATATGACCCTGGTAGAGTGGTTCGCCCCGCCAGACGTTAAACCCACTGGTGCCCTGGTGGATATAACCCGCCAGCTCTACTCCGGCTTGGCACACATCCACAATAACGGGATCCTTCATAAAGACCTCTCGCTTAAGAACGTGCTCCTGAGCAGGGCTGAAGGGTGCGTTAAGATCTGCGACTTCGGAATGTCTGCGACGGTCGCGGACGACGAAGCTGCACCGCACAAGCTGCGCGTCGAATTGCACTCTTTCACATCATTTGAGATTCTGAAGATGTGGCTTGCGCGCAGCTTCGCCTGCCAGCCTCACGCCGCTTACGTCGAGTTCACGACACGGGGTGTGCCGCAACAAGATGCAGCAAATGGCTTGAGGATGGCCTACGACCATGGCATGAATATGGTGTCAAACAAGACCTTCTACAACAAACAGAACTGGGAAGAAGTCCTGAGTGACAAACCCCGCATCCGTACGCTCGCTGAGCAAATAATAGCTTGGGATCTTAGTCAGTTTGTTGGAGCGCTGCGAGGTCGAGCCGTTCCGCGGAAATTCGTAGAGGCATTCATGCCCGCTCTGTTGCTTGGACCCATCCAGCATCTAACGGCTGACTACGTGTCGCAGTCATTTGACCAGCTAGTACGCACAGAAGTACGCAATGCTGCGAAGATTTACCTGAAGTCCGGGGCCCACAGTCCGGTGTTAGATGATTTCTAGATCTTACTCCGGTGTAACGCGAAACTCTAGATCCAGTTTGTTTGTGATGGCCTTCGCGCCCAGCGTACTTTCCTCATTCGCCCCTCGCCGTTTGTTATCTATCTCTCGTCGTAATGTGCGTCGTAGTATTGCGCACAAAATTGCAAGTTCTATCCTCAATATACAAATCTTTTCTAATTGTCCGCAAACTCCAACGCAGCCACATCCACTTTCACATGTATGAAACTTTACTTCTCAACTCCAAACACCGTCTCTTCGCTAACGTTAAAATTAAAACTAAAGTTTACATTACACCAAATTTTCGGGCCTGGTGACTGTAATGTAAATTATTTTAAATTTGAATTTGAATCGCAGTGAAGAGACCGTTTTTTGGAGTTTTGGAATTGAGAAGTAAAGTTTCGTAATAATACAAATCATAAAAGGAAACAAGAAAAACGGTGAAGCACAAGTCACGCCGTAGAGTTCTATATTCCCGTAGCTATGCAGAAGACGTTACTTCAGTAACGTCTGGCGCAGTAGCCGTCATGGTTGACGTACAACACTATAAGACCGCAACGAAGTTGGGGCCGAAGAGATAGTTCCATCAGTTATAACAACATGCATGATCAGCTAGGCAAAAAAGCATAGCGTAGGGCCCTGAGCTTCCAAGCTCTCTCGTTTCCTTTCCATATTTTCCTTGGCTCACCATCCGAGTATTATAATAATACCCAATGCTGTAGACACAAGGAGCGTAATACCCAATATATTAGATTATCACTCTCTTATTATTTGTCATATCGGCCTCGGCAGCTGACGGGTTCTCCCGGGCTGTACGACAAACTTCCCCGGGTTGTACGACGAACTAACTACTCTGCCGGTACTAGTTTACATGTTGGGTGAACGTGTTCCCCTCATGAGCGCGCGTTTGTACGGCAGTTGTCTTTTGTATCTACTTGTCACTTTTATCAATGCATGGGCCGCGGGATGTTGTATCTGCTAACTGTCTTATCGTATACGCTGGCTGTTTAGTTAATTCATAATTAATACGCATTTCTCCTTGTCTTCTCCCATTGGTCAATTCTGCATAGCAACAAGCTCTCTATGGTCTGATTGGTTGGGTTTTCCCGCCTTTGCTACTCCTTTGTCTAACTCGATCCTTTTTGTTCTCGATATAACTCCTGCTGCTTCTGATCAAAAGCACCAACCTTCCTTCGACCTTCACTCTTGAATCGAGCTGGAATCATAGTGACTCTCAACCTTATTCGAATGACCAAGGTGAGCGTGTGTGGCTGAATGGATACTTGGATCAACTATATTGGTTGATGACCTGGTGGGGTTACTACGGCAATGCGAATGTATATGTTGTAGCCTTGAGATCGGTATTGTGTATGTCTGGCATGACATATTTGGTGCTGTGACCAGGATCCAAGTTCTGTTCTTCTGTAGGCGATTGCTTACGGAAGGCCTCCACAAGCTGGAATGTTTGGTTGATGTCAGATGGGCTGTTGTCTAAACCGAACAGATCGAATGATTTGACGGCCGGGCAGCAAACAATGATCGTAATGTAGAGCGATTGCTCTTTGTTGAAGGCAGAGTTGCCTATTTTGGAGAGGATGTGGCTAGGCGAGAGTGTTGACAGAACTGCCAACACTCTCGCGCATGCGGGTTGAACTGGCGCGCGGACTGGTGATCGGTTGATCACCGTATCGTACTACAGATTTGTAGTTTGATGATGAGCTATATGAGGAGGGTTGAACTGGCGCGGACTGGTGATCGGTTGAACACCATACCGTACTACAGACCAGTTTGACCATGATTTTTGCTGACCCGTACGCGAATGGTGTGATCCGATGACGACTGTAGTACATACGAACGTATGTACTGTGCAGTACTTGTGACCTGAACAGCTCTCATTGGTCGGAGGACTACCGTACGAAGTAGCAAGTGGGGAATATAAGGCGCAACTGGGCAAGGAAAAGGTATCACAGTCTTGCGATTGCAAAAGACAAAGATATCCTGTTGAGAGCGAACGCACTCGATTTTCTGATTATCATGGCTCACAATCAGGCTCCGGATGCAGCAGCGAACGCTGCTGTAGGGGGTGCCAATGGTGGGGCGATGGTGGTACGGCCGGCAGTGATGCCTGAAGCATATGATGGCGTGGGGGATTGGGTGGAGTACTTGCCGTACTTCAACCAATGCGCTCGTGTGAACGAGTGGAATGACGTGCAAAAGGCTCAATACTTAGCCGTACGGCTAAGAGGGGCTGCACAAAAATTTGTTGCGACTGTACCTGAAGCCTGCCGAGTGGAGTGGCCTCAGGTCGTAGAGGACTTGTCGAGGAGGTTTGCACCACCAGAGACAGCCCGCCAATATAAGTCGCAATTTAGAACGCGAAGGCGCAAGCCTGAGGAAGACGTCAGTCGATTGGCTGACGACTTGCGTAGTCTTGTACACAGGGCTTACCCGACCATGGGTGGAGACGTACAAGAAGAGTTGGTGCGGGATCAGCTCATTGATTCCATGACTCCTGACAGGTTGCGATTGCGCTTACAGGAAAATGCACCACGAACGGTGCAGGAAATGATCGAGATGGCTAACCATCTGGAGAGGGTGTGGGGGAACGAGGGCACGCACGGCCGAATGGACGATGCGTATGGCGTACCACGTCAATTGGTGACGGCTGCGGTTGCACCGTCTGAGCTCCCTACGTTGGAGTCGTTGGCAAAGTTGGTGGAGAAGCTTAGTGATCAGGTGGACAGGATTGCCCACCCTCCTAGGCCGAACCAACAATTCAGGAGAGGGGACCAAGTGGACAGAGTTGACCACTATAGGCCTGAACAATCGAGGGGTTTGACTTGCTGGTTCTGTGGCCGAATGGGACACAGAAGAGCTGACTGTCCAGACTTGATGAAACCCGGAAGGGAGTACCAATCTCGCCGACCGGCGGAAAACGGGCATTGATCGAGACGGCGGGCCGCGTCTGCGATCAAGAAACTGTGCTGGGTCCAGAAACTGAGGCGATTGTCTCGGATGCTCTAGAGAATGACTCTGAAGTGGTCGCTGCCTTGAGCAGGACAGCAGAAAGCCACGGAGGTATGATGATTGAGGGAAGGATTAATGGGCTGCCAGTAGAGTTACTGGTAGATACGGGTTCCTCAGTAAGTCTAATTTCTGAGACCCTCTCGCAGCAGTTGGGCTACATGTTGGGCGACCTGGAACCACCAGAGAAGTCGACTGGCTTCTGCGGTGCGGATGGTCAGAGGTTGCATGTGTGTGGCACGGTCGCTGCATGTTTGGCAATACAGGATGCTATTTGTGTCCATGAGATGAAGGTGATTCGAGGGTTGCGGTATCATTGCCTGATTGGGAGGGATGTACTATCGCAGATACCTTGCGAGATCACGTCGAATGATGGGAAATTGAACTTCAAGGCTGATAAGGCTGAAGTTTCAACGGTGGGAACATCACAACGCTGCCATAATCTTCGATTGAAGAATAGGGTAGTTATACCTCCATACTGTGAGATGACGGTGGCTGCCGTTATCGAGAACAAGGAGGATGTTCCTTCATGTGGCATCACCGAACCAGACGGCTGTCTGATCGATGGTGGGGATGTTTTGTTGGCACGAGCGGTTGTTTGTCCAACAGATGAGGATGTACCCGTTCGGGTATTGAACTGCTCAGAGGAGTCAGTATCTTTAGGAAGAGGTGCCCGAGTGGGACAGCTGCTACCTATTTCAGCCGTGATGAGTGTCATGGGCGAAGACGAGGATGATTGCGATCATATAGGAATGGAATCCACGGGGGATTCGGGAAGTTCCGAAGACTTATGGTCGGCGCTCAACATTGGACTAGAAGGTCCTGTGAGTGGGAAGTCTGTGTCGGGGGATGACGAGCTGCAGCTCGGTTATGAACCTGGTGAGGGCACAGCGGAGGCGAACCGGGAGACGTCTCGTGTTCAGCCTGGTGGGCAAGGGTCAATTGGGAATGAGGAATTGGCACGCTTGCGTGATCTCGTCTGTCGCTACCGGATGGTATTCGCGATGAACTCTGCTGAATTGGGTCGCACGACTGTGCAACACCACAACATTAACACCAAGGGAAGAAGTCCTATCTTCCAGGCTCCTAGGCGATTGCCTTGGAATTCAAGGGAAGCCACCCGTGAACTAGTGAAGGGCATGAAGGAACAAGGGGTGGTAGAGGATTCTACTAGTCCTTGGTCTTCGCCAATAGTGCTGGTTAAGAAGAAGGATGGCTCAACTCGATTTTGCGTTGATTATCGCAAATTGAATGCCGTTACGGAGCGGGATCCATATCCTCTCCCACGGATTGATGATACGTTGGACGCGCTGAGTGGCGCTAAGTACTTTTCCACCTTGGATTTGTGTTCCGGCTATCATCAGCTGCCTATGGCAGAAGAAGACAAGGAGAAAACGGGTTTCTCCACTCCAGATGGGCACTACCAGTTTACAGTCATGCCGTTCGGTGTGTGTAACGGTCCAAGCTCGTTCCAGAGACTTATGAGTGTTGTCTTGCGTGGGCTACAGTGGCAGATTTGCCTCGTGTATCTCGATGATGTGATTGTGTTTGCAAAGACTTTTGACGAACACTTAGAGCGGCTCGAGGCGGTGTTTGAACGGCTATTGGACGCAGGGTTGCGTCTAAAACCATCCAAATGCTTCTTGCTGCGTACGAGGGTGGATTTTCTGGGCCATGTGGTCTCGGAAGAGGGTGTGAGCACTGATGAGGCAAAGACTCACCGCGTGGCTACGTGGGAGCACCCTACGAATGTAGCGGAAATTCGGGCATTTTTGGGGTTCTGTGGCTACTATCGAAGGTTCGTACCGAACTTCTCGGGTGTTGCTAAACCCCTCACTCAGTTGACTAAACAAGGCCATGCGTTCTTATGGACCGAGGAGTGTGAAGAGGCATTTGCTACGTTGAAGAGTCGGTTGACTTCTTCACCAACCCTGGCATATCCACAATATGGACCTGATGCTCCGAGGTTCATTCTGGAT